GGCCTCCCAGACAGGTCGGGTTTGGGCTGTGGCTGTGCAGGGCCGGTGGGGAGAGTGGACAGCGGGCTTCAGCGTCAGGAATTTCTTAACGTAGAGGGGCACTGGGAGCACAGGGACAAGGAAGTGATGGGGCAGAAGCCCATGTCCCTGTCTCCTTCCAGCCCCGCCCTGGTCTACAGGGGGGTTGTGCTTGTCCACATGGGGCAGACGGGACACAGGCCTCAGTGTCCACCCGGCCCAGGCTGGGGACGCTGCACAGGGCCTCGTGCTGGGTCCGTTCCAGGCAGCTCTTAAAAGCGCTTTGCTGTGTTCTGGGCAGGTGGCCGTCCACTCCTGACAGCGGCTTCGCTGGGGGACCCTCCACCCGAGAATGGCCGTCTCAGTTGGGTGGATTCCACAGAAGGGGAACCTCAGAAAAACAAGCCTGGGTCAGAAACCAAAAGAAAAGTGCCTCTGGGAGGTGGCGGGTTCTTGTCCGGGTTTGAGTCTGAGTCACTGTCCTTTCCCCCTGGGGATCCGAAAGTGGCCACAAACAGTGGTCGGCCTGAGGCGGGCATGGGGCCTCAGTCGGCGTCACTTCCCAGCCCTGGACCGGCCTGAGTCACCCGGGCTTCCCCAGAGCGGCTGGGTCAGCACACGCACTTCCTGTGTTCAAGGGGAATTCTCACGAACGCTGCCCGGCCCGTGATGCTGTCAAAGGCATGACTCTCGAGGAGCCGGGGGACCTTCCTAAGACTTTCCAGCTGGGTCTGCCCACCGTGAGGGCTGCTCTGGGATGTGGCTCTGGGTGCGACTCCCCTGACCCTGCATGAGGGAAGGGTGGGACTGACCCTGAGTGTCTGTGGAGACTCTGGGGCCCAGGTGTTGGAAGGAGGGAGCCAGGGCCATGGTCAGGCCTGACCCCGGCAGCCCTCTGGGCCTTGGCCAGATGTTCTCGGTGGACAGTGGGATCAGCCTCCTGCCCTCCTGACTCCTGAGATGGCGGGAAGGTGGCCTGTGGCCTGGCCCTGTCAGGGCTTTGCTTCTCCATTGAAGGAAGGGCTGCCACCAGTGGCACCGGTGACCTCAGTCTCTGGGTCTGGCTCCTCCCTTTCTGCTGCACGTGACAGACACGTCTGGTGACCAGTGTGTCTCTGTCTGTTCCCTCTGCAGCCAGAGCATGCAGGCCGGGACGCCTCTGTCCAGGCTGCTATGGAGAAGCTGCAGGAAGAAAACCGGCTGTTGAAACAGAAGGTGACTCATGTGAGTATCTGACGTTTCATTCAAGACGAGCTCCCCATTATGAGCTGCCCTCAGGCCACTGTGGCTGACACAGTCTTTCCCTAAAAGGACAAACAGAACACATCCTGTCATTTCTGCCCAAGTTCATTCCCATGTCAACGGGGGGGGGGCAGGAGCTACTGTCCAGACAGCTCTTAAGGCAGGAAGGCGGCACCGTCCACTTGGGTTTAAGACGCTGCTTATGCCCAGAGTGAGGAGACTTCCGTTTACGGGGACACCCCCTCGGCTCCTCATCGCTCATCAATAGCTTTCCTGCGTGGCTGGCAGGAGAGTGGCCTTGCCAGCTGTTTCACCGTGCCCATCCCCAGGTGGAAGACCTCAACGCCAAGTGGCAGCGCTACGACGCCAGCAGGGACGAGTACGTGCGGGAGCTGCGGGCCCAGCTGCGGGGGCTGCGGGCCCCTGAGCCTGAGATGGAGCTTCTGAGGAAGGAGATCTCCCGGCTCAACAGGCAGCTGGAAGAGAGAATCAGCGAGTGTGCGGGGGCCGCGCAGGAGCTGGCGGCGGCACGGGAGCGGGCGCAGATGCTGGAGCAGCAGGTGGGACGGACAGGACAGGTGACCTGACCCTCCCCGAGCAGGCCCCGCAGTGTGGTGACGGAGTGTCTGCTCTCCCCAGATTCTCGTGTACAAGGACGACTTCACGTCAGAGAGGGCGGATCGGGAGCGGGCTCAGAGCAGGATTCAGGAACTTGAGGACAAGGTGGCTGCCCTGCAGCGCCAGGCGTCCCGCAGACAGGTGGGTGTGAGGGCTGGGCCCGTGAGCGCTCAGGGCTTCTTTCCATGAACTTCAAGCCCTCTCTGTCTGCTGAGACCCCGATTTCCAGCTTGGCGCCTGTCACGGTGGGAGACAAACCTCCCTGTGGTCCTGTCTGTGGAGGAGGTCAGCGTGGTGGTGTGATAGCAGGGCTGGCCGTCCCTAGGGCTGTCCTGCCTCCTGTGCTCGCTGTCACACACCCAGGGAGCACATCTTGGGCCCCCAGCTCCCTACTGGGAGGCTTCCGTCATCCCTGTCCCCTCCTTGCTGTGAGATGGGGACCTGGTTGCCCTGTCACTCTCAGATGTGGATGCCAAGGCCCCAGGCACAAGACTTATGGCACCCAGGTGCCTCTTGTCTCTGTTTTTCCTCCTGCCACCAGGCCTTTCGTGAGCACACTCGGGCGTGAGTGTGGTCTGTTGTTCCCTCTTGGGCTCTGGGCCAAGCAGGAAACAGGGCGAGGGGTGTGAGCCCCACGCAGGGATGGATGAGCCTGAGACCCAGCTTGGTGGCCTCCAGCACAGCCCGTGTAAAGCCGACCTCTCCTTTTCTCCAGGACCCCCGAGAGCCAAGCTCCTGCCGGATTCACACTGGGAGCAAAGCCCCCAAGTACGCAGAGGCCACTGCTTTGGAGTTCTTGGCGCCTGGTGGCCAGAGGCCTGCAGCTGAATCCCAGGGTCTGGCCTCCCCGGTGGAGGGCGGGCACCTGGGAGCAGCCCGGAGAGGCCAGGGGGACCTTCAGTGCCCCCACTGCCTGCAGTGCTTCAGTGACGAGCAAGGCGATGAACTCTTCCGACACGTGGCCGAGTGCTGCCTATGAGCCCCATGCGGGGACAGGCTGGGTGCTCTCAGCAGGCGACAGTAAGACCCCGAGATCCGGGGCTGAAGGTGCTCTGACCCTCACCTTGATCCCCTCAGGCTGTGGAACAGACCAGGTCAGAGGGCACTTCCTGGGGGCTGGAGGCAGGGGTGCACTTGGGAGGCCCAGCTCTGCTTGTGGTGCAGACTTTGGGTCCCCAAGCTGTCAGGCCGAGGCTGAAGCAGGAATCCTTCCAGGCCAAGGTGACGGCCCTGCCCAGCCTGCACCTGGGACGCTGCAGCTCTGTGGGAAGAGGTGGTCTGAGGGAACGTCATGTTTGGACTGCAGGGTGGAAGGGCACCTCCGCCCAGTTTGTAGAGCTGAGCACTGTGGCCACACGTGGCTCGTGGGGGCCCATCTCCGCCACAGCAGGACCATGAAATACACTGCATTACACAGCATCTGTCACGTGTCCAGAGGTTATAGCACATTTACTTCACAGCCAGTTGTCTTTATAATAAATGCATTCGCTACAGTGACTGCTCCAAGGCTGGGGCTGGGGCCCGGGGTACAGGGCCTGGGCTGGGGCCCAGCAGCATTTTCAGTTGGGCAGGAGGCAGATCAGCAGGAAGAGACATGCTCCTCCTCACCATCTCCTAGGGGACAGAAAGGGGTCAGCGTGCAGCCAGGTGCACACACTGTCCCTCTTGCTGGGAACACCCTCTTACTACTTCTGTTTGGGGCAGTCCTCCAGCTGCGGTTCAGGTTTGCCCCCTCTGGAGTGTCTGTGCTCCCCTTTCCGGAGCCTGCCTAGAGGAGGTCTGTCTGGGGTGGGTGGGGAGGGTGTGGCAGAGGCCCAGTCTCACTGCCCCGAGCAGGCGGAGCAATTTGTGGACATGGAACAATGGAACAAGAAGATGGGACATCTCACAGAAGGGAGAACCCTCAGATCCTTGGCTGACCCCCGAATTGTGTGAGCTTAGAGTAGGACTTGAGGATCTTGGCAGAGCACAGCTGGGAGGCAGGAGCTGAGGTTTCAGGGGCTCTCGATGCAGGCGACAGTGTGTGAGCCTCAGGTTAGAGGTGTTCACGAAGGGCTGCGCTTAGGAGGAAAGTTGACGTCCTGGGACAACATTGAACAGCCCTTCTCTAAACAGCACCTAGGTTCCAGGCAGCCCACCTGCAGCCCACCTGCCGTGGGAACAAGACCCCACTGCCCTCCACACAGGCAGCAGAACTGCAGCAGAAACGCTGGACACAGGACGAAGGCAGGAGACGTTTCCAGATAAACTCAGCTAAAAAGTTACACCTAGGAGACGGAGCTACCAGAACTAGCTGCAGAAATCACGCAGGCTAAAGGGAAGTGATTCTGGATAAACACAGAAGGGAAGGAAGAGCGTGGGAGTTGGGAGGTGTGAACAAAAACTGACTTCCCAGCAGTAACGCCGTGAGGGTTTAAAACAGGAATGTGACCCACGGGCTTTCTAGGTGGGGAAGCCGACAGTTTGATAACAATTACCCGGTTTTGCTAGATTAAGGTGGACTATAAGGAATTACAGGAGCTATTAGGATCTTCAGGGTGACCACTAAAATAGTGACAATGTTTAATTTGAAAGTTAGAGCAGGAAAATAATTTTCTTATTTATCCAAAGCAACACAAGTCAGGAGAGCTAAGGGAAAGGAGAGACCAGAACCAGGTGGCAGGTGGCTGACACGGGCAGTCCCAGTGACGACAAATGACAAACCGACTGAGGCCACAACTGTGTCACGGCTCTGCTGGTAGGAGACACACACTGGAACGCAGGAGCAGGTAACGGGCAGAGAAAGACACCCGTGCTAACACTAACCTGGGAAGTGGGAGCAGCTACGTGAGTATCAGACAAAGTGCACTTTAGGACAAAAGATATCCCAGCACGAGGGAGACGCTGCGTAATGACGAACGGGTAACGTTCCTGAATCCACACAGCTAACAGCACAGCTTCAAAATCAGCAAAAGGAACACCGGACAGGAGCGAGCGAGCGAGCGCAAAGACTTGAACATGCTTCACAGTAACTGACAAGCAGGGAAAGCGGGGGTGCAGTCAGGACACACGGACCACTCGCCCAGAGACAGACCTGGGGGCCACAAATCAAGTCGCAACATGTTCCAAAGAACAAGATCCCTGAGTTCAAGGACTCTGACCACAGTGAAATTAAACCGCAGCTCAGAACTCGGCACCAGGAGATAACGTCAGATTCCCCACGCACGTCCAGATGACCCACGGGCAGAGAAAGGCGCAATGGAAGTTAGAAAGTGTTTTAAACTGAGTGAAAATGAAAATACAACTTTTAAAAAATGAAGGACTGCAGCTAATGCAGTGGTGAGGGGAAGTGTCATGGTTCCAAATGCATGAGTCAGACATGGAGAGGGGTTCACCACCAGTGATCCAGTGCCCAGCTCAAGAAGCTGAGAGCCGCAAACTACCCCCCCAAATATGGAAGGAAATAAATAAAAGCAGAAATCAACAAAACAGAAATCTCTCAAAATAGAAAAACAACAATGCTGACAGTTCTTTTAAATAATAATAAAATCAGTAAGCCCCTACCTGACTGGTGGAGATGAGAGAACACTGCCGACAGGTGGGAGGAGCACCGCAGCAGGTCCCTGCGGCAGTGAGGCGACAAGGACACCGAATGCTACTGATAAAGCTCACAAGTCGATGAGATGGACAAAATTCTCAGAAAACACAACTCACCAAAACCAACACAAGAAAAAACAATGTAACTCTATATCCATAGAAGAAACTGAATCTCTGATTAAAAATCTTTCACAAAGGAGCCCAGCCGGGTGTGGCTCAGCAGTTGAGCGTCAACCTAGGATCCAGGTGATCGGGGTTTGATTCCCGGTCGGGGCACAGGCCCGGGTTGCAGGCTCCTCGATCCCCAGTCGGGGGCATGCCAGAGGCAGCCTATCAGTGACTCTCTGATCATTGATGTTTCTCTCTCTCCCTCTCCCTTCCTCTCTCTGAAATCAATAAAGACATATTTAAAAAAAAAAAATCTTTCACAAAGGAAATTCCAGGTCCAGATGACCTCCCTGGTGAATTCTCTCAGCCACCTAAGAGAGAGATGCCAGCCTCTCACTCGCTCAGGAGACGGGGGAGTTTCCACCTCATTTTAACACCAAACCTGAGACAAGGCAAGAAAAGGAGAGAGCAACATCTCTCATGGACACCGATGCAAAAATTCGGAACGAAACATTAACAATTGAGCTAGCATGTAAGAAGAATAGTACGTCATAAAACAGTTGGAATTTTCATTACAGGAATACAAGATTGGTTCACATGTAAGAAACCCATTGAATGTAATTCACTGTAATTAACAGAATAAGAGAGAAACCACATGGTCGTCTCAACAGAAGCAGAAAAGGCGTATGAAGAAATTCAGGGCCACCGAGCAAACTAGGAGCAGCATTTCCCCAGGCTGACAGTGTGCGCCCAGCACACCCACAGCCAACATCACACCCCGCGGCGCAGCGACGATCGCATCGGGCAGGAAGTCCTGCCAGGGCGGTAAGAAAGAACAGAGACATTGGGAAACAGGAAACATAACCCCGTTTGCAGGTGGCACGACTGTATGCAGAAAACCCTAGGGGATCTTAAAAGTTTAAAATCAGTAAATGGACTTCACAACCTCAAGAACACAGTCAATATGTGAAAAATTATATTCCTGTATATTTGCAATGACTGGAAAAGCCAATTAAAAAGCCCGTCGTGGGTCGAACTATCGCCTGCTGCTGTGGCTCAGCTGGCTGGAGCACTGTTCTGTACACCAAAAAGGTGGGGGTTCGACCCGCTTCTCGCTCCAGCTGGCGAGCCACAAGAATTTTTAAAACATACTATTTAATCAGGGGCACAGACCTCTTTTCCCTTAGACTGTCAAATAAAAAAATGACAACAGCCAACACAGTAGCCGTCCAGTGTGAATCAAAATTATCCCTATTTTTTTGTCAGATGGGCAAAAAGTGTGTTTTTGGTGTGCCGCAGAGGTGTGCAACCTCTACAATGAAAGCTGTAACAAAACTGCTGAGAGCTCTCCCTCCCGTCAAAATCAGCGAAAACATATCAGATGAGTATTAAAAACATAAATATATAAAAATGCCCTCACCTGGCCAGCGTGGCTCAGTGGTTGAGCATCAACCCATGACCCAGGTCACCGCTGCTTCCTGGTCAGGGCGCACGCCGGGGCTGTGGGCTCCACCCCCAGTGGGGGGCGTGCCGGAGGCAGCCGATAGATGTCCCGCTCTCATCACTGATGCTTCCATCTCTGTCCCTCTCTCTAAAATCAACAAAAAACATTAAAAAAAAAAAAAAGTCCTGGGCTTTACGGTTGTGTCGGGCAGGACAATTCCCAGAGTAGCTGATCCCGCAAGGGTGCCGTGTCCTGTACGGGACACCTGAGCACAGGGCGTGTCCCCAGGAAAACACGTGGGGCCCCTGCAGACACTCAGCTGCGCTCACCGTGACTCCAGGTAAGCGCTGAGCAGAGCGGCCCTGTGTGAACCTTTCGTGCTGTTGGGGTCCACAGTGCTACTTGACTTTTCAACAGCGGGTCCCAGACAGTGGTGCCTGGGGATTTCAGGATGAAGTCCCCAAATTCAAGCAGCTGTACCTCAACCCTGGCATTCTGTGGGATGACTGGGAGCTCTCACTTGTACTTTTAAAACCATGAAGCGGTATAAACTGAGGTAAGGTTGTTTCTCCTTTTAAAAACTACAGTAACAAAATCACGAAGTGCTAGTCCTTTCCGGTACCGTGACACTCACCTTGAATTATTGTGGTTTTAATGGCGTGACTATGGAGGCAAAGTTCAATAGGACACTTTCACCGTCACCATTTCTTTCCAACTATGATGGTATCTCACCTCCTGTTACAACTGTGTGCTGGTGACACTCACGAGCTCTGAGGGAGGCTCTTCAGGGGCTGACCTCACCAGGAACCTGAGGGGCAGTGGAGCTGGACGTCCTGCAGGCACGCCTCGGGCCTCAGTTTCCCAATCTGTAAGTGTAATGATGGTGTGAAGACCTGGTGCATCCACAGCCTTAGGACAGGCTGACCCCAGGAGTCACGTTGCCTCCTGTCCCTCTGCACACAGGTCCACCCTTTTCGTTCCCAACAACCAGGATGGTGAAGTGAACCCCTCCCCTGCCCCCGGAAAGACCCAAAGGAGCATCAGGGCTGGGGCTGGGTCCCGCAGGACAAGTGGTTTCTCCAGGACAACAGGGGTGCAAGTGTGCAGACTCAGGACAAGGCGTGGGTGGCAGGTAGGCCCATCGTGGGTGTGAGGTGGGTGCTCCATGCTGGGGTACTTGGGTCCCCACACCTCTCATGGCTGTGATGGGACCTGCTTGTATCACAGCTGGGACCCTGTGGTTCCTCTCAGCAGCCAACTGGCCCCATGGGACACAGGAGGTGGGACTGGTCCCCAGCACAGCCGCCAGACTCCAGTCCTTGGGGAGGTCGAGCAGGGTCTTGGGCCAGTGGGCAGCTTCCTTGGGGGA